TATATAATTATAATATAAATTTTTAATTTACTATTAATCACTTATGTTATCATTTTTATTTTAATGCATTAACTACAAGGAAAACATATTTAAAAATCCTATTTTAAGCAGCTATTATCTGAATTTTCCCATATCACACTATATATAAGATGTTGAATTTTTATACTTATAGTAATTAATAGTATTTAGAGTTCATTAAAATAATTAAAAAAAAATTGAATTACTTTAATTTATTATATTATTAGCGTATTACACAAATGTAATATATTTAATATATCTACATTTTTTTTAATTAAAGATAAAGATAAGAAAAAATAAGTTCATATAAAATAAAATTTTTGAATAACATTATTGTATTTCGAAAGTCCAATAATTCAAAAAATATTCAAATGAATGTTTTAAAATAATTATTATTATATATCCAATAAAAATAAACATAAAATTATTACACTTTTTATGAAAATTTATTCCTCCGTTTTTACATATCCTTGTATAATAAAATCATATATATAAGAAACTTTATCCTCTTATAAAGGCACATATTTTAGAAGATTTTATATATATTTACTAATAATACGATATTTTTTTTTATATAAAAATTTATAATGAAGGTGTACTATCTTATTTTTGGTAAAAAAAAATATAGATGTTTTGTAACCAGGCAAAAAAAAAAAATTTATGTCACATATATTTTTCGCATAATTTATTTTAATCATACTTTTATAAGTATTATAGATAGCAAAACATTAAAATAATTGCATGAGATCATTAATATACAGTTTCATACATGAATTAATTAGGTTTATAAATTAAGTGATTTCCTCTGGTATATCGGAATATAAATAAATATATATAGACCTTTACAAAGGTTTTTTGTATCATATACTATTTTCAAATATACATTTTATTGAGGACGTACTAAATGCATAATGTAAGCAGTCTGTTGTATGGTAAGCTAATATAAATATAGTTAACATATATATTTTTAGCTCAACCTTTTATTATTTAAATATAATATATTTTACTATAAAGGATTAAAGAAATAGATAATTCTTTTTTTACATTTTTCATCACAGAAAATACTTTGTTATAAAATGTTATCTTTTTCTACATATTACATATATATGAAAAATTAAAAAAATACTATATTACATTTATCTACACCTTCGTAAGACGTATATTCTACGTTCATTACAAGTACAGGTTATTAAAAAGTTAGCTTTCTTTTCTTATCATAATTCATACTATTAGGAATTTATTTAGTTATAAGGCACTAAATGTATCAATTCAACATATTATGGTATAATTCTAATAATAGTTAATATAGATACAAAGTGAATATTTATTCCTTTTTTTTATAAATAATTAGTATATTTAATATAACTAATTCTATATATATTATGTTATATTTCCTAAATTAATAGTAATATACTATTCAATAACAAATTATTATATACTAGATACATTTATTGATTACTGTTAGTTAAATATAACATAATAGAATTTCTAATGATGGATTATTATACAAATTAATATATGTAAAACATGATTATTATGAAAAATTAAATCATTAAATGACAATAATTTTATATTTATGCATGAGCATTATAAGTAAAATACAAAATATCATCATATGGTATAAAAAAAACATTAATTTTATAAAAAATGTGTACAATAATTGCAGATGTGCTTGAATAAAACAACAAGTGAATTACATAAATTTATAGGAATATAGAATAGTGAAAATATCATATATTAATGTGTACGCATGTAATATTCATATATGTTTTTTTCCTCAGCAAGGTAAAATTTTATAAAGATGGAAACATTGAACACATTAAATAATAAAACATTCATATAAAATTATGGAATGTAAACCATTGATAAAATTTATTCATTAAGTGCTGTTGAAGTTGTATATATAAATTTATTGAATATTTTTAATTTAATATAAGATTTATAAATATATGTAATTGCATCTATGAGTAAACATATCTTATACATATTAGATTATATTTTTTAAGTAAATAATACAGTATCTCTAAACATAAAATTTTTATATTTATTGTTTCTTCAAATATTATGTTCTACATGATTCATACGCTAAACTGTATAAATAGAGGAGTGAGCTTTTAGAGAATATATACTGCAATATTAAAAAAATTATGCCTGAATATTAAATAAATGAAGTAGTTGTAAAAACTTTCAATAAATTTAGATAAAATTATACTTTTTATAAACATTCCAATGAAAAAATCTTATTAAAAATCATTTTTTTATTATTTATGAATCACTTATCAATAATAAAAATGTTTAATAAGAATATGATATACATATTTCACATATGATTGAAGTTATATATTACTATAAATTAAATAATATATTTGTGAACATGAATTCTTGTAATACGATCATAATATTTTCTAATGTTCCTTGGATGCATTGTAAATTTTTAAATATATTTTATATTATATTATTTTATTGATTCCTATATACATATAATTTCTATGGTTATCAGATTCAGAACTCATAAATAACAAGAATAATTTTAAATTAACACATTAAAAATCATTAATGAGCTCATTTTGTAAGGAAAATAATTCAAAAGTAAAAAATATAACTACTGCATTAATATAATTATCAAAATATGTAGTAATGCACATAACATTTATGTCCATAAATTAAATAAATTTAATAATAATGCATGAGCTATAATTAGGATTAAGAAATTTTATATTTATTTTATAATAGTATAAGAATTACATAAATGAAACTCACAAATCTAAGAAATACAAATGTTTGTGTTGAAACCTAACATTTAAAAATATATCTGTAAGAAATTTACGCTAAAAATAAGTTCTGCTATTTGCAGGAACATTTTAAAATACATGTAATAAGATCATATTGTAATATAAATAACAATTCCATACAGTTGTAAAATCATCCCCTTTATATTTTATATAAAAAATAAATAATAAATTTAAATTAATTCTGTTTATTGTAATCAAAACATTCAATAATATATTTAGGAAATATTTCATTCTTTCATTAATATTATTTTATTCGTTTTATTTCTTGCATATGACTTCAGTAAAAAAGAAATGAAAAACATCTGCAAAAAAATAAAATACATTATGGCTGAATTCATGCAAAAAGGAATAATAATGATAATTTCTTTAATAATATATGTTATACAATCTTATGAAATACACATGATAAATATATAAAATGAATGGATAAAAACCTTTATATATATTTTAGAAAAATAATNNATATATATATATATAATGAATGAATTATTACGTTAAATTTAACGTTACACCTGATATATTTTTTGTATTCAACACTAATTTTCATGAACTTTTTTATCAGTAATTTTGGAATTAACGAAGAACATCATGACTTAAATATCTACGGAATATAACATATTATAATTTTTTTTTAGAATATTTTTTTAAATGATTTATGTGATATAAATTATGAAATAACATAACAATTATATTTTATTCAATCAAATTATAAACACTGTACAATGGAGAGTAATATTACCATGTATAATACACTAAAATATATAGCGCACAATTAAACTTCATTATAATATATAAAAATAAATAATTTAGGATCGTATTAAAAAAAAGGACATGTTATTATCTACATATTTTGCATATCCTCTTAATAATAGAAGAAAAACATTTTTTTATTAATATGATTTCTTATAAATGTCATAGCATATGTTCTTTTATTTTATTTAGAAACACAATTAGAATTATATAGTGTATATGCATAATGTTATAGAGGTTTTATATGCATAGAATATTACATTTTATTTTTATATACCATATATAAAAGATCATTGTAAAATATAAATTAAATAATTCATTATAATCATTATAAAATGTTATTTTCCTTTATCATCAGAGAACTCGTCACATAAAATTTATTTATTCTTTTAATTACATATATAAAGGAACAATTAGTCATATTGATACAGTACATTATATATTTTATCACTAGAAATGCTATTATATGATTCAGAGGATTGAAACATATTGAATTCTTCATCCATATTTTTCCATTTATTTATTTTTTCTTTTATTCTTCGATGTATCCATGAATTATATGGGAGGAACTAATTTTCAACAAATATAATTTATGCATTGAAAAAATATTTTATATTTCACAATTTATTTTTTTAAATTAATTACAAAAATTATCATATACTACAATACACATAAATGACATTATAACTTACCTTATACAATATTACAAATAAAGTGAATATAATTAACATTGTAACAACTGTAATTACAATAAAAAAGGAAATATTATTTTGACAAATGGCATTTTTATCACATTCAATATTATTAAGTGATTCAGTTCGAACATCTTGATCACATATTTTAGTTATATTCTTTAATGATTCATAAAATTGTGGTTCCTCGCAGGTTAAATCTAAATCTTCTTTATTATTAACTAATTTATATAAACAATACGTAATATCCAAATTTTTCATATAATCATTGTTGAGGTTATATTTTTTGCAAGTATCCCACAAAGGTCCATCCGTTTTTAGAGCTTTCTCGATTGTTATATCATATAACTGCTTAGTTTTGTCTTCTTTTGATTGCTTTTTTAAATGTTTATATATCCAGTAATATAGAAACAAACAAGGACCTTTTATTTTTTCTACAGTTTTATATCGTAAATCTACATAGGGTATATAACTGAAACATTTAGAGCAACTTTCCATATCATTATAAGTAACATTTGTTTGTAATGAACTATATAGACTATTGCTAGGACATAGTTGTTTTTCTTCTATAGAACCAAATGCATAATCTATATGTTCTTTATAGGTGGAAAAATTTTTAACGAATTCATACTAAAATGAAGTGAAAAAGAAATCGTATTGAAAAGATTATTGAAATTGAACAAATTCATATAATATACTAAAATTTTAAAGGATAAAAAATATTCATATTTAAATTACAATAACACAATTTAATATTACATCTACATGCTCCATCTCAGATTATATTATATTGCTTTCAGTTGAGTTAAATAAAAGAAAAATAATTATGCTCTTATATTACCTAATTTATAAATCAAAATATAACATTTTAAATGTAATTAAAAAATGAAGAGTAATTAATTGTTAAATATATGGTAGGGATAATAATACAATGATCTAGTATTCAAAATAGTATTCATAAAAGAACACTAAAGAAAATTTTTTTTTCTGAATAATTATAATCTGAATATATCATATTGTATATTGAGAAAAGCACAATTTATTCATCCATTTATTCTTATATTTAAATATAATACATTATAAATAAAATCATATAAATAAAACAAATTATACTAGAAAAAACATATTATTTTATAAATTTACATATATTTTAGACGTATAATAAGAACATTTAAACAGTTAGCAATTAAATATATCATTTGGGTAGTGCACGCAGAATACATATAGTGTATATATACTACAATATAAAAGGATATATTAATTAATAAAAATAATATCATTTTAACATTATATCCATTAATTATAAAAAATTATGATGCATATTTATTTTAATATTACAATTAATATAATTATTAAATATATTTTATAAATTACACATTGTGTAATGTAATATATGTGTATTAAAATGTTATATATAAGAAATTTTTTTAGATAATATTTTACCTATTATATTATTTATTGCAATATTAATAATTAAAAAATAATATATTCATTTTACCTACTATGATAAAATATATAAAAATAAGAATTAGAATTACAAACAACATAATAGAGTAATGAAAAATATATAACAAAATTTGAATATCCTGAAAATAAATTTAAAATAAATACAACATATATGTTATATTATTTGGAAAACATTGACTAATCACAAATAATGTATATTTATTCTTAGATTAATTAATAATTTTCGCTCATATATTAATGCATAGCTTAGCATGATAATTATATATAAATTGAAAACACGTCAACAATAACAGCATTAATATTATATTATAAATAAATTATTTCCATGAATAACAAAAAGAAATATAAATAAATAATATATATTTACTTCATTATATAACATATAATTTGGTATATTTTTTTAGAATTAATAAATAAGTATATTCTTGTTTTTTATAATAAACTCTTGTTATATATATTAGATATATTTATATTTTCATTAATGTACATATACATATATATATGAGAGTGCAATTATATATTTTTCATTTAATATAAGTTAGTATTATTTTACAGGTTTAGGGGGGTAGGGTTTATGTTTAAGACTTTTTGTTTGGACTTGAATTGTTAGTTTGTGTACTTATTGTTTAATGCATACAATGCTTTTATATGCTTTATATTTGTTCTTATTTTTTGGATTTTTTTTTTTTATTTTATATAATTATGTAAAAAATCTTAATAGAATGATAACAATATTTGATTTTTTCTTTTATGTGTAATAATAAAAGTATTCTAATGTACATAATTTACTTTATATTTAATATATATATAGGCCACAATATTATTTGATAATTTATTCTACCTTATATATATTTTTTTATTGTTTATTTTCAAAAAAATAAATAATTCACATTTTTATTGTGGGATAAAGTATATTTTATTATAACTCTTTTTATAATATTTTATATATATATATTGGAGATTAATATTTTATAACATTCATTGCATATATCATCCATTTACTAATATTGAGTTTATAAGTATTTTTTTTACCTTTATCATATCATATAAGCCTATAGTATAATTATGTATGTATATGATATAAATATTATATTAAAAAAAATAATGAATTTATATCCATACTTCCTTGAGAAATATAACAATAAATTTTCTTTATATTGTATGACATATATATTTATTTTATCATATTATTCGTCTTTTAATATAATTAAAATTGTATTTTCTCAATATTATTCAATATATACAATGTACGTAAAAAAAATAATTTAAAATTAACTGTTCTATTATATAAGAAACAATGAGACACATGTTCAAGAGCACTATGCAGAAATATAATCTATATTAATTTTAAATGTGATATCTAAGATTATCTTGAATAATAATTAAATAATAAACGATCAATTTTATGTATACAAAAGGTATATATATCATATAAATATGTTCTAATTATATACTTTAATATTCATTTAAACTATGTAAAGAATATTTTCTTTAATGGAAATTTTTTTTTTTAATATATTCTAGAAAATACGTTAAATGTGTTGCTATATAAATTAATAATAATCGAATACTCAATTATATTATTATTATTATAATACAGAATTAATTTATTTTATAATATGTAATATGCTATCATAATATATGTTTACATTTTATATTCAGTATTTACTTAGTAATTCAAACATCTTGATTACACAATAGTAATTGTGATATATCAGGAAATTACTCTTCATTCTGTAGTATTAAAATTCTTATATCTATTAATTAGTTAAAATAACAGAATTTTAAAAGATTCTAATTTTTTTGTTATAATGCTATTTTAGTATATGTGGATAATGAAATCACGCTTATAAAAAAACTTTCTTGCAATTTTATTAATAGTGCAAATGAAAAATAAAATATATTCAAATGAACAACATGTTAATTTTTATATTATATACAGAATTTATGTTAATAAAAAAAAATACAGTAAACCAAAAATCATATTTGAAATCTGTAAATAATGGGCATTATTTAGGTAATTATTATAATTAGAATTGCTTGTAATTGAATATATATAGCACACTCTATATAACTCTTTATATTTATGTCAATCCATTAAATGTTTACAAAGTCATATGCTTTATAATTTGGTAGTACATAAATTATCGAAAGTTTTAATAGATATGAACACACAGTTTCATATTGGAAAAACAATGTCTATTAAGTGAGAGGATTATTCAATAATTAAATGTATATAAAAATGGTATTAAAAAATAACATTAAATGGGAAAAAATAAGTTATCCTTTTGAATTTAATGAATTATGATAAAAGGTTTTAATTTTTCATCTGTAGAACATGTAAAGGGAAAAAAATATTTATATATAAATATATACAAAATTTCACTGAAATTAAAATATATAAATGTGCGCGAAAAAGTAAATGATAAATGTTGTAGTTCTATTTGTAAAATTAACTTTACTAGATATCGTTATAAACGTTGATTCAGAAGAATATAATTATTTATATATATAATTATACATTATATACATATGAAGTACAAAATATAGATAAATTAAAATGGATTAAAAAGTATTTTTACTAATTAATAATTATTTTTTTCATACATGAGGATGAATTTATTTGTAACTTGTAAAATCATACAGAAGAACCCTAAATAAGAAGAAATTATTTTAAAATAAAACATGAATATATCAAAGATTTTATTAAGATGGTAATGCATAACATACCACACTTATCTGTACAATACATTATTGTTAATCAAAATAATATGAAATATTAATTTGAGAGTCAAGTTTTAATATTGCTTAATATCAACAAAGAAATATATAATAACACCTTGTAGACAGTTCCTTTTCTTAGTGTACTACATATGTAGATAAATTAATATATATACGTGAGAACGATAATAATACACGAAAGGACATAAATAATACATATGTTTTTCAATATAATATATACCCTTATTTAAATTTAAAATTAGTTACCATGGAAATCATTAAGTAGTTTATAAATATAAGCATTTATATAATTAAACAGGTGCAATGATTTTAACTGTTAGTATTTAATATATATTGATATTCTGCAATGTAATTTTTGTATATATTTTCAAATGCATGATAAAAATATACATGTAAATTGCATAAAAAGTACTAGGTATTAGTCATAAAAAACATCAAATTTAAGTATTTTTCATTATAATTTAAAAAATACTTATAAATAAAAGAAATAATATGAGATTTCTTAAGCCAAATCTGCTTTTTTCATATGTGTAATGAGTATAAAAATGTATCTCAAAAAGTAATACATAGGAAATATTATCCTCAAATAAAAAAATTTAAGTATTTTATGAACTATATATGATATAAAAAAAGTATAAATAATGGAATTAAGTCATTGATACCAGTCTCTATATATAACATATCATTTTTATTTACAGTTCAATATATATGTTATAACAATATTTTTATCCCTTTCATTATTTTATTTGTGCATCTCACATACACTTTTTTAGAATAAATACATTAATATTGAATAGTTGTATTATTAGTTACACGTACACAATATTATTTTAACATATATTTATGTTTGTAACAATATTTCTCGTTATTTTCATAAGTATATATAATACAACTTGCTTCATTTATGCTTTATAACATAATTAAGAAAAGAATATATTTAGCACATGATATAGTTCGTATATACATATTAAATTTTAACACACATATTACTATAGAAAATACACACAACACTCCTTACAAAAAAATACATTATTTTGCTTGATATAATTAATAAATATATATAAATATAACAATAATTATTTATAATTATATTTGGTCATAATTAATATAGAAAAGTATGTTATATATATAATATATATACACTTATATATAATTAGGAAGGATATTTTATATAAAAAAAATTAAAAAAACACTTATGAAATATTCATCCGACTTAAGAAGTAATATGATTTGCCTCATTTTAGTCATTTGCATAACACTAATTATAAATATAACGCTCTAATTACATAGAATAGTATAATTTATTAATATTTCAATAATATGAATTTAATAGAATATCATAACATTGGATAACAAAAAAATATTTTATTTATTTTTCAACATAATATATAAATATGTTGCAATTTATACTTGAATGTCCCTAACATAAAAATATACAATAACAATATAATAATTGAAATAAAATTATTTTTTTTAGTACATTTGTTTATTACATGATTAAATGCATCAAATTATTTCCAATATAGTTGTTAAATTATATTTTGTTAAAGTATATATATTTTTTTAGAAATTATACTTTCAATAATAAGTATTTTCTTTTTGTTCTGTTTATCTTAAGGGTAATTTAAATATATACAGCACAAACATATATATCATTATTATTTAATATGTTATTAAATAATATATTATATCATAATTAATCATGGATTCAGTATCATACATAGGAAAATATTTATGAAATACGTCATATTTATAAATATAAATCAAAATTATTTTTAGGTTTGAAGTATATTATTTAATTATATCTAAGTAATATATCACAGAATTAAATTTTTTATTTAAAATTATTAATTGTTCTAATTATATATCTTATATACATATATATATTCCATTTATTAGCAATATCATTTTTACTTTGCATGACAAATATATATAACTACCAATATAAGAATAAATATATAAATCTTATAGCTTTCCTATAAGCCAATAAGCTATTAAATTTAATGAAAACAATAATTTTCATTTAGAACTGTCAAATGTAAAAAGAAAAAAAAAAAACAGAAATGTAATATCATACACTGGATCTAGCATTACAACATGCTACGCTAATAACACCACATTATAGTTTTCAGTAAAATGAGAATCCACATAATATTTGCATTATCTAAATTTGTAATCCTATGGAGAGAGATACATTCGTCTACGTTTTATTAAATAAGGTAAAATATTACTGCATAGCACAAATGTTCATAGTGCTGAATATTTTTACATCTTATATCCACAAAATGATGGTAAAAATAATGGAATATATATTTTATTTAATAATATTCATTAATAATTACCATGTACCAATTTGAGTATTGTTAAATTCAAGAATACGTAAAACAATTATTATATATAATTTGTATAAAACCATAAATTGAAGACTAATTAATGACTAATTTTTATCTCATACAATATTTTATTTAAAAATTCGAACGTAATATATAACACAAATATTTAGTATATTATTAAATATAATATAAAAATTAATTAAATATTAAAGACAAGAAAGATATAATTAATAGAGGAAACAATATTTCATTTGAAATAAATAATATGTTGGTAATAATTGTATCGGAAAATAAAATATTCTCCTAAATTCTATGACATATTTATGTACAAAAAGAATTTAATGGATATTCCCAAATATATATAATAACACAAAATACTCTTAGATATAAATAAAACTAAAATTTCTTAATAAATATTAATAACATAAAACATATAGGTATTCTAGTTTAATGAATATAAATATAAATAAGAATATCGGAATATGTCAAATCAAGACGTTATTCAATTTTTGATTTAGCATATTGTTACATATAACTTCTTTAGACACAATAAGCTTCTATATTGTTTTTCCATTTATGCATTATCATATAAATCATATGAATACTATAGTAGCTCTTTATAATACTATATTCAATATATTTGTATATGGATATAGTTTAATACTATAAGTACGATAAAATTAATATTATTAATTAGATTTTTAGTTTAACTCTATACTGCTAATAATATAAATAATTAATAAAAAGCAAGCAAATATTTATAGGATATAATATTTCTTAATACATGAAAGGAAAATAAATGATAAATATGAGAACAAAAAAAATATACATTTAGATGTAGTTTATACCTAGAATATTAATAATTAGAGATCTAATTTTATGATAAAGGAATTATATATATTTATAATTATAAAAAGTCTATATTTTTGGAAAAAGTATGTCATATAAAAAAATAGAATTATGATTTTCATATTTACATATATATTACATTTTTCACATGTTAACATTGCTAAATATTTATGTATTATTCTATCCTTTTATAAGAAAACTTATTGTGGACTCTTCTAAGAAATTCAATAATACACAACAAAACACTTCTGGAAATACGTTATATATGGTCTTTATGTAATTATTAAAGAAAATACATTATACATGTATATATATTCATTTCACTTGTATAATTGATTTTATACACTATACATTAATTCTGATAAATCATATTATTATAATAAATTTACTTCTGTTTTATATAATATATAGAAAAGTAATAATTCTCTAATGACTTTTTATTATATAAAAACTTATATTCGATTATTATTATGTGAATGAAAATTTAAGATTATATTATTTCTATAATAAATTATATGGCATATGCATAGTAAAATTGTAATATATACGTGGTCTAATAGCATTCCTAATTAAGAATAAAAATATAAATTTTGATGCCTGGGATTTACAGATTTTATTATATTGCTTATTTATATCTATTTTTAAATATTTATAATAAAAAACTTATTATTTCTAGAATATTATTTACATAATAATTAAATAATTTTTACATTCAATTAAAATATATTACATTGAGAAATATTTAACATGGGACACTAATAATATAAGGAATTTACATTTTTTTAACAAATAATTAAGGAAATATAAAAGATAAGTATTATGAGATTCATATTCCGTGAATTACATTAGAAGAAAACAAATAAAAACATTAATTATTATACCATAATTTACTTGTACATAAGAATAATTGTCATGTGGGTTATTATATTTCACAGTAAAGGACATTTATTTGGAATATCGAGCAAGAATTTTTTTTTTTGAACATTTTAAATTGCTGAAAAAATAAAAATAAAAAATTTAAAAAAATATAAAAAATTAATTTTGCATTGAATAATCATATACGCAAAAAATATATATATACTTCATTATAATAATGATAATTCGTTATTATTACTTTAATTTTTTTATATAAGTAACCTACAAAAATAAAGCAATAAATAATATCTTATTAAAGAAATTATAATATTTATATGTATATTATATACAATATGGAATTCTACTTTCTGATTAGCTTTTTTATATATATTTAATATTTTTGTAATATTAATATAATATAAAATAAACAAAGAGTACCACATTTATAAGTAAAAATTTTCTTACTCATTAAAATATTTAATTACAGTTTTGCATATACTAATATTAATTTATATATAATAAATATATATCATTGGAAAATAGTATTTACCATATTTAAAAATAATTCACATAGATTATGATATATTAATTTTTTCCCTTCTTTGCATTTTTTATATAGACGGAATAAAATACTCTTACAAATGAAATAATTTATAAAATCAAATTAGTTAAAACATAAATTAAAAAAATGAACAAAAAATATACATCCAAACTGATAAATCATGAACCACTATATATAATGCGTGAATTTTAAGCAAATAAATACTGTAGTTAAAACTATATATATCAAGCTTATTAACTAATTAAAGACATAAATAAATATGATAAAATTATTAATTATATTATATATACAATTAATTTATTACATAACCTGATGATATTACTAAATTAGTTTTATATATACTATATTATTACTAATATATTTTACATTATATGTTTTTAAACATATATCCAGAACAGAATTTTTTTTTTTATTTTATTATTTTTATTAATAAAGGTTCATAATATAGACAACTGATGATACTATGATAGCTTAATATATATGAATAATATAATAAACGTATGAAAATAATGTAGATATAAATTAAAAATGATGTAACGTATATGATATAAATAAAATATTTTTTCTAATATTTTTACCAAATAAATGTTTATTTCAAAAATAATATAAATTTTTATTTATTAATCCAGATATAAAAAATATAATGATGGACAATAAGACGGAGAGTAAAGAAGTGTGATTAAAAATTTTATTAAAATTATTATTTTGAATTTTAATTTTAATATTTCTTATTTATTAAGAACAAAGTGCATGTTTTTTTTCTTAGTAATTATATATTTAATTTTTGTATATATTATGATTTATATTTTTAGTTAGATTTTACTGGGATATTTCCAACTTGTACAGAAAATTTTATATGGGATATAAATGTCCATAGAAGTAGTAATACGCCTCATCATTTTACTGAATTGTGTAGTAATTTTAAGAATGATATAACAGAAAATGATTCTAACATTGAGAATTTTATTAAATATTGCCGAGTTCTTGGTTTATATTTAGAGCATTTAGTTAATAATAAATATAGGTTGAACCAAGTAGCATGTTGTAAATATTTTTATTACAAGCTAAAAGAGTATATACTAGATAAGTACCCGTGTACATGTGATGGAGCCCAAGAGTGTTATATGAAAATGTCACAAAAAGAGGATTTAAATTCAATACACAAATATCTGGTATATGCAAGCATCATTTTGTCAATATTGATGCAGATGCATTAAAAATAATGGAGTTATTAGGTGAAATATATAACTACATTAATCTTTTTAAATTTCAGGCAAAGCAGAGGACCACTTTTTATATGCATAAATTTAAAAGCTGTATTGAAGATTTAAAGAATTATCTCTATAAGAATAAAATCCGAATTAAGTAAGAACTTGAAAATAATATTCAAATATGTGAAGACTATAAAAAAGATTGGAAGCATGATGCTTTAGCCAAACATGCCGCAAATCTCTTATATGATAATTGGATAGCAGAGATTAGTATGAAAATCAATAGGACTGATGCAGAAATAATAGCGAATGGATGAGGAAAACATAGAATCTTTGAAAACCATAGCAATTGGTGCTCAATATTTAATGTTCCATGGGACAGATGGTGTAACAATCACAGGAATAAATATTGGAAGCGTTTTTATAACATTTTCAATATTAATAATTATGATATTTTTGTATAAGGTTGAAAACAAAATAAATATAACAAATTTTTATTGTATTATAATTTATCTGATAAATATTTATAAAAAATACATATAATATAAATGAACAATAAATAAAAGTATTATTTTATTTTTTCTTTAGTATACCCCTTATTATACATTTTTAAATACAAGGGTAATGAAATAAAGAACAAGATTTAACAAAAATAACATAAAAAATCTGGATCTTATGTATTCATTTGTTGATGAATACAAAAATTCAATTGATGATAGGCATAAAATAACGTATAGCTAAGTTAAATATAACTAATACATGAATAATTTTAGTTACTGGATCCAATGTATTTTACTTTAATAAAAACAATATAACATTTAAATTGCTGTAAAAAATTAATTTAATTATATTAATATCATATTATAAAGAATAAATAATATAGAATGATTATAATACCTAGTAAAATGCCATAATATATGAGAATTTAATTTTGAATTATTAATACTAATGGAAGAATAAGCATCTTTACACTACAAAAATAAAATAAATTAAATACATAAAAATCATATCCTTATTTACTAAAATTATGGTACATTATAAAAATTGATTTAGAAATAAATATATTGTGTGTTCAACAAACACTAATTCTCTCATAACAAAGTACTAGCTCTCAGAGGGAAATTATACTATAATATTAGAATATCTTTTAAATGATTATATATATATATATATATATAATATATTAATTTATTTGAAATAAGATTTAAAACATTATGAGTGGTATACTTTCTTTTTAGCGAAATTTTATGGTGTAACTCTTGCATGTAATATATTGACATTTAATATTTTTTTCCAATTAATATAATATAAATAGAAAAAAAAGAAAAAAGAAAGAAAGTTAACAATATAATTAACACATTAACATTTCGCAAAACATATGTACTTATTAACAATGTATATGTATAAAGAAAAGGATATATTTAGTGTATGTAAATATGTAGAATTATTACAAATTAACATAGTTATGCATAAATTTATTGGAGTCCAAAATAAAAAATAGGATTCATAATTGTAAAATATTAAAACTGTAAAAAAAATTTGTTAATTATCTGAATTAACTACATATAAATTTATACTATTTATAATCACTAAATATTATTTTTTAATAAGAATATATCTCTCCAACTTCTTTTAGCAAAATAATTGATGAAAATCTAGCACATTAATGTGAAGCATTATTTTAAATTTCTTCAAAATCATTTTCCTACATATATATTATCATATTTAAAGAATTCATTTTTTATTATATTGAAATTTATTATTATATTATGGTAAATTTAATGAAATTATTTAAGTTATATGTAGTTATTATGTATAAGGCTAATATATAATATGGTATATTATACTATAAATATATATTCTGTTCTAGTAGTAGTACACAAACTATATATAAAACAACACATATTATATATATTATTACATGGTATAACTTATCTCTTTTTACATATATATAGGATAAATGAGCATAGAATACATTATATATGCCACAATGTCAAAAAATTATTTTAAATAATATAATGATTATATAATATATATATATATGTGTTCTAACAAAATTATCATTAATTAATTTAACAATATAATTTAAATATCATATTAATTAACATGATTTATATTATCCTATAAAAGTTTTGTTACTTATATCTTTTGATAAATTTCATGAATAAGTTTTTATCGATATATTACAAAATAATAAATATACAATATTTAGAATTATGTTAATGAGTAGATGAATAAAGTACTCCGAGATTCATTTTTTATGTTCTAATAATCGTATTTTCAATATAATGTGTACTAATTAGAAGTTTCCTAATTCATTAACATTATGACTACAATAATATATTATGATTTATTCATAATAAAATTAAAAAAATAGTGATTTTATATTTTTTTATAGGATTCACTTATTCTCCTAGACATGCTTTAATGTATTGCTCTTCTTTTACACGTTTATTTTGTTAATTTATTTATGTAATATTTCACCCATCATTTTAGCTATATATAATAAAAAATTTGTGTGTTTCACAAATTGTACATTATAAAAAGAATTTTAGTATTTAAACTGAATTTATTTTCTTTCATATATTTATTTATAATGTATTATATCTGTAGGTTTATAATCATATATTGTTAATTAAATGCAGGTATTATAATTATAGTATATTACACTGGATATTTAAAATGTTCAATTTTATTTATTCAACTTATATTGTAAAAACTCTAGGGAATGCTTATAATACCACTATTGCTATATGCGAATTATTTTATAAGTATAATTATTTTATTTTCATATAAAATATCAGTCGAATTAATTATTTTATAAAACAACGCTAATGAATTAACTATTTTTATATTATTAGTAGTATTCTACTGGTCTTTATGTAATTTCTTGTGTTTTTGTAATATTGTATTTATTTTAAAATGAATCCATTAAATTGTTACAATTTTTTTTTTCCTTAGAATTCTCCTAAAATTATTTAGCTTCGTTTGCAATAATTAAACAAATGATGTATACTAAAAATAGCATGAATTGTGATATCTTTATGCAAAAGTAATTTATTATATGTACGTAATTGATAGTTATATATAACATTAATTTTATAACAAATATATCTAACGAATTGAATTTTTTTTTTACATTATATATAAGAAATGCAATTATTAATATTGTAAACGAATAAAAACTGTACCCATAACTGTTACTAAAATTGAGACTATCCTGGTATATCTCTATGTCTAAATCTGTCCTACTCTGTTTGTTCATAGGACCACTTATTTCCCTAAATGTTATTATTAAGACTATCCCTTATTCAAGTTATATTTATTATTTCTCATCTGTACTAACATTTCTACATGATTATAATATTTCTATTAATTTTTATTAAATGAATTTAAAAGAACACTATAATTAAATTTGTACAACCATGCATTAAAATAATTTTCTGAATATATTGTCAAATACAAAAATCGCATTACAATTATGTACCATTTGCTTATTTAAATGATAACTGATTATATTTTCAATTTGAATAGTATTGTAGAGACAGTAAACAATTATTGAAATATTTTTATTCAACAGAACTTAATAAATGTTTATACAATACGAAATATATTACAAGCATATT